TCCTTCTCCCCCATAAATGTAGTTAGTGGATGAGAGTTTTATGCTTAGAATTCTGTTCTTTCATCCTGTTCTTTAGAAATCTGTCGTCACAATAAAATCTTAGCTCTAGAAGAGACTTTAGAAGTCATATTGTCACATAGAGCAAATTCTACTGGCTGCACTATTCCTGCTCCTTTAGCTGGTGGTCTTGCTGCCTCCAGGGCCCCTCTATTAAGCTAAACCCTACATCCCTGAGTGTTAGTGCTGCACTTCTCTCCCCCAGATAGCATCTCTTAGTTACGCTAACTTTACCTCAAACTCAGGATGGAAAACTAAGCCTATCTATGTTTATCTAAAAAGATAATGTTTCTGAGTTATATAAGCTCAAATCTTAGAGTTACGTTGGATTCCTACCTCATCTATGTAATCACAGAGTGTGTTTCCTTCCTTTATTTAATCTGTTTACTGCCCATCTCTTCCCCATTCTCATTTCTATCTACCTAGTCCCTTCTTATCATCCCCTCTTATCACCTCTCAACCATTTACCTTTTTGGTCTTCCAACAACTGCTCTTTAGTCCATTTATTGGATAATAAGCACTTGGAGTATATACTCACACAATGTGGTCTATGTTCTGTGCTCTTTCTAGGAAAGACTCCCATTTCTTACCCCTGGACAAAGGGAAGTTTCCTTTTCAACCCAGTCTACATTTAGCATTTTTCTGTGCTTTATGACAATAGTGGAGAGGAAGAAGGGAGAGTTGTATCCATTTGAGAGGGGCTCTGCAATTTATGAGAGCATTTCTTAGTTGCAAAAGACAATGTTAACAAGCCATATAGGGGCCGGCCCCGTGGCTTAGCGGTTAAGTGCGTGCGCTCCGCTGCTGGCTACCCGGGTTCGGATCCCGGGTGAGCACCGAGGCACCGCTTCTCTGGCCATGCTGAGGCTGTGTCCCACATACAGCAACTAGAAGGATGTGCAGCTATGACATACAACTACCTACTGGGGCTTTGGGGGGAAAATAAATAAATAAATAAAATCTTAAAAAAAAAAAAAACAAGCCATATAGGCTGCTTTCATTAGGGATATGATATGTACACTTGCCCTTCAGAGAATGCAATGTCATACCCCAATCTGACAAGAAACAGTGATGTCAGGAGCACTGAGTGGGACAACGAAAAAATGCTTTTCATAAGGCAGAATAAACAATACCTGCTATGGAAGGGCTTGATTTGAACTTTCTTTTTCTGCTTAGCACAAGAATAACTTAGAAACTCTCTTGATTCAAAAATTTATGTAAGTTCAAATGCTTTTAAAAACAAATCTGATTCTTATGTCTTCTTTGCTTCTCTTATTAATAATTAAATCATCTAAGGGAAATAAGGCAGACATAAAGGACAAAGATTGTATGATTATACTTGTATGAGGTACCTAGAGTAGTCAAATTCATAGAGACAGGAAGTAGAATGGTGGTTACCAGGGACTGGGGGAAGGGAAGCATGGGAAGTTGTTTAACGGGTAGAGAGTTTCAGTTGGGGAAGATGAAAAAGTTTTGGAGATGGATGGTGGTGATGTTTGCACAACATGAATGTACTTAATGCCATTGAATTGTACACTTAAAAATGGTTAAAATGACAAATTTTATGTTATGTCTATTTTACCACAATAAAAAATGTTAAAGATAATTGAATCATGTGTTTTGTTCATTTGGGTTCAATATTGTTTTTCTAGATGTGTTGTAAGGTTGAACTAACATGATACAAAACCTACTTGCAAGGAGCATGCTTTGAGAAAATATAACATACAGGTGGAAATGCAAGCTATGACAGTGTCCCACATTCTCACTGCAGGAAGGGCTGAAGACTACATTTAGTCTTTTTAGGTACATTCGCCTTCTGTTTAGTCATCTCTTACCAGCTCTGAACACAGCCTCAGAAGATCTGAATCTGAGAGGCCTAAGTCTACAAAAGTAACTGAAAAATAATGATAACTCAACAGTAACACTTATTGAGTACATATTAAGTGCCAGGTTTAAGTGCCAGACATGATCTAGGTCAAGAAAAAAGTTTTAGGCAGATGTACAAATATCAGATATCAGTTTACTATCTCCAACTCACTGTTTTCTCTTTAAAATAAACAAACAAACAAAGCTCCACACATCCCATTCCAGAATTAGGAAAACAAACAGAGACATTTCTCTGTGCCAGTAACCATGCCAAAGAGTGTGTCAGCCAACAATATTTGTGAAACTCACCATGCAGCTGACAGGGCCACATATTATTGTGAAGTGGAAATTTTTGGAGAGGCTACATGTCAATCCATTAAAATTTCCTATAAAAAAAACTTGCAGGTATAGACACTCTTTTATTTAGAAAGCCTATTCTCTCAAAAAGAATCTGGTTCAATTATTATGGAGGGGAAAACAATACATGAAAACAACATTTCAAAACTGACGGTAAATCCACCTCAAAGCAAAACCATTTCTGGTGTCTCTCAAGTAGCTGGGTTAATGTGGCATAAGAGAAAGCCTGACGAGCAGGTATAATTAAAGTATGAATCACAGGGTAAGTCATGAGTAACCCTGAAACACCTACAGGAAAAAAGTCCATTATAACATGCTAAACTTTAGAGACTAAAGGATGAAGGGTAGAAGGAAAAATTCTAATTCCATGTAAATGCAATGATGGGCCTGAGTGGATACACATGATAATGGCATCAGTGCATTATCGGTACAGTGTCCTGTGAGGCTCTGTAACATCGCATATTCTGCCTCATGTGATATGGGTACACTATGTTTTCTGTTCCAAAAACTGCTTGAGGTCAGGTACTGTTTTGCTTTATTTATCTTTCCATATAAATCACTTCTCTGCCCAGATCCTAATAATGTAGACAGTAGGCATAAAACATGCAATTAAATATATGAATGGGTAAATGATAACTCATTTCTTAGAATCTAGAATAAATCTGTCCTGACACATAAGACTTTTAAAGAAAAAAGAAAATTGACATCCGACATATTAAATGCTACTTATCAAAGACTGTCGAAGCATTTTTAAAGAATTAATCACAGGGCTTCTATTTAATGAAAAACAGGAAGAGATTCTTATATTTTATCCTGTTTCATATCTCAGCAGTTGGCATTGGATTTAGTCGCTCGGAACAGCAACATGGCAAAAATTGAAAGGAAACTATTTGGCCTGACTGGTTTTTTGTCTTTCCAGGCTGTGATGAATAGATGCAAAATCACTTCAGGTGAAAAACAGTGCCGCTGCTGGTTCTGTCACTCCATTAGCTGACAAACAGCATTATTGCCCCCCACGCCACACCACCCACCCACATGAAGAGCATTTAATGGAGAGACGCAAGTTAGACACTTGGAGTTAAAATGACTCCAATGGTTGTGTGGTCATTCTGCCAGTACTTGCAGATCTATAGATGTAAATATGGATGGGAGATTTTCAAGTCCGATTTCCCGGGCTCAGAAGAATTTAAATCAAAGCCATCAAGTATAGTGTTTACATCATCTTATCTTAGGTTAAGATTTACTAACTGTTTTTAATGTTTATGTGTATTTTTATTTTTTTTTAAAAAAAAACATTTGAAAAGTCTTGACAGTCTCTGAAATTTAAATGGGAAAAATGTAAAGCACTTTAATGGAATTTTTCCCATGATCTGCAGAAGAGTTTTTTAACAGATGGTTCAAATGGACAGAGCAATGAAAACATAGAAATTAAAAGCAGATCCTTAAGAAAAATAACTGAGTTCTCAGAAATCCTATAGATGATGGCAGGACTAGACGTAAAGCAGCAGTTTCTTTTGCTGTCAAGGTTTCGAGAGAACAGAAATTTATTAGGTGATCCTCTACTAGAGTAGGGATGACTGCCTCTTGGCAAGAATTAACTATTCAGGGGCCTGGCCGGTGGCTTAGCCATAGAGTACGTGCGCTCCGCTACTGGCTGCCATCACTGATGCACCGCTTGTCTGTCAGCCATGCTGAGGCAGCATCGCACATACAGCAACTAGAAGGATGTGCAACTATGACATACAACTATCTACTGGGGCTTTGGGGAGAAAAAGGGAAAAAAAAAGGAGGATTGGCAATAGATATTAGCTCAGGGCCGGTCTTCCTCAGCAAAAAGAGCAGGATTCGCATGGATGTTAGCTCAGGGCTGATCTTCCTCTCACACACACACAAAAAATTAGCTGTTCATTTGGAAGTCTAACCAACTTCAACAATTCGAAAATCTCCATGCTTGTAGGGCAATTCCATCCAGGTGCGGATAAAAGATATAGTACTGTGATGCAAATAGGTATTCTAGAAGTAGGAACATCTAAGTCTGGGTTGCGTTTTGGGTGCTGAGAATGACCTAAAATCTTCCCACCTTCACAGCAACTTGGAAAAACAACAGCAGCAACAAACAGTACAAGGCCTATGAAGACTTTTGTTTTGAATATAAAAACCTGGATGAAGTGAGCGGTGGGAAAGAGGAAAACTTTTCAGTCTGGGATTTAAATGCATTCAGTGGAGATGTGTGAAGTCAAGTCCATCTTCCAACCAGGCTTCAAAATATCTCAAACTTAAGGGAAAGTTAACGTTGGTTTCTCTCCCAGACAATTCTAGGGAGTGAGTGGTGAGGAGGAGGGGTAGGGGAGGTACGTTGGGAGTTTGAGATCTTTTTGTGAAGTGGAGGACCCCAAAGTGTCACTGTGAGCTAGTCGGAGCCAGGCGCCCAGGAGGGGACAGGGTTAACACCCCGGGAGAAGGCAGGAGCGCAACCGCACCGCTGCGGCGCAAAGCCGAGGAGCCAAGTGCCGGCCGGTGGGTGGGGGCAGGAGGGTAAATGGGCGAAGGGGCGGGGTGGCGCGGGGTGGGAGCCAGGCGGCAGGAGGAGGAGGGTCTCCGAGCCGGAGCCCGACTTGCAAGCTCTCTGAGCCTGCGTCCGCCGAGGGGGAGGGTTTCCCGGCCCGGCCGGAGAGGCGGCGGGGCGCTTCTGGCTCACAGCGCAAACGACTGTCAAGAGAGTAGGAGAGTGGAGCTGCCGGAAGTGTCTGCGCGCCGCGAGAAAACTTTCCTGCTCCGGCCGCGGCCCGGAGCCTCCGCCGCCCCAGTGCTCGCAGCGACGATGCGCCCCGGTGACAACGACCTGAGCGGACCGGCTCCTCGGCGCGCTGCCCGTGTCTGCGCTCGCCTCGCCGCAGGGGAAGAGGACTGAGCCCGGAGGCATCCGCGCGCCGCAGGAGCCTGGCGCAGGCGGCGCGGCGCGCGGGGCCCGTTTCCTCTGCGCCGTTCCCTCGCGTCCCCGGGCGTGCCCCGCGATCGCGCGTCCCCAGCGCCAGCCGCGGTCGCCGGCTGTCCCCGCCCTGACTGCCGCCCCGGACGTGTCCCCGGCGGCCGCTGGCAGTGCTTGTGCCATGGGGCTGCCTACTCTGGAGTTCAGCGATTCCTATTTGGACAGCCCGGATTTCAGGGAGCGCCTGCAGTGTCACGAGATTGAACTGGAGCGAACCAACAAGTTCATTAAAGAGCTCATTAAGGACGGCTCTCTGCTCATTGGGGCGCTGAGGAGTAAGTAGAGCTGGCGGGGGAGGGTGGAGAGGGCGCGGGGATCTGGGGAGTCCCCGCGGGGTGCGGGTCTGAGGGGTGGGATGGAGGAGACGGAGCTTCTTTTGTTTGAATGGGTTTGGGGACAAAAGCTGAAGAGCTCCCCTGCTGGTGGCCGACAAAGTTTGTTCTTAGGTGTTCTTTACTTATTTACTTCCATGTCTGCAGAGAAGGGAAAGGTCTCTACTGGATACTGGAGTATATCCTGAGGAAAGTTGTTCAAAGTCATCTTTTTGTACAACGCTCCAGGAAAAATGTTGGTGACTTTTTTATTGGTCTTTTTTGTAATTTCATTGTGTTTAGCTTGAACACTTTTTAAAAAGTCCTTATGGAGGGATTCAAGAGTTTGTCTTAAGGACAAAATAAAGCTAGTTTATTTAGTGATGTTAAAAGGAAGTGATTAGTTTCTTATGTACATCAGTGGATCTTCATTGAGCACAATCATTGAGTTGGCTTTTGTTTTAAAATATACATTTGTAGTTTTGCCATTCAGTAAGATGATAGAAGACAGCATGGTACCAGTGGATTTAATCTCTTCACAAGTTTTTTGTGTCTTAATTTTTGGTTTGCATTGTAAATCTGGTGTTGGTCGAGTCACTGGGGATGAGAGTTCAGTGGCGAAAGGCCAATCAGAACTTGTGATGATCGATAGAAGGAAAAGACTACCCTTTGGCGCTTCTCCCACCTCCTTTCCCACACACCTCCGATTGGGATTTTCTTTACTCCCTCTTGCATCCTCTGAATCTTCACTTTCAATTACTAAGACAGAGAGAGTCTTAGAAAAAGAAACTTGAGTTTCTCTTAGAGAGAATTGAGTGGCTAAATGATAAGGCTTGTTACCTTTCCCAGGATGTATTTGCATCCTAACAGAGGCTTTTGAATGCTAGCCACTGAAATGAAGCCCTGGAATCTCTGGCCTCTGATAGCTGGGTGAGTGAGGTATTCTCATGCGGTGGAGAGGCCTTTGGGTGATTAGCAATCCCCAGGCTATATGTAAGGGAAGTATCATTGTGTATGTCAAGTGCTAGGTCAGTAGCAGCTTGGTGGGGATGTGTGTGTGCCTGAAACTGAGACATTAGCATCTGATCTGTATTTTGACACATGTATTAATGGTAAGGATGGAGCTCAGCAAAATGTCTTGAAATACTGTACTCCCAAATCCTTTTTTATTTTAACGATCCCAGTGCTAAAGCATTTACTTATCACTTGTGTTACATTCACTTAATTTCTGAATTTGAGGCTACTACTGATAACAGTATTTACTGATTTGTGAAAAATATAGTTTATCTGCAGTTCTTTTCATTCTGTGTGTACGCGCTGTGAACTCTCGTTTCTTCCAGTTTGCAGATCCTGGTTGAGGTCCCTGGACTAGCCTCTTTGCATCTTAGAGAGCATGATGCCTCTTCAAAAAGAGTTTCTGCATCTAAGAGTGCTACAATGCCAAGCCGACTCTTGCTAGAGCTGCCAAATGGTCTACAAATGACATTTTCTCCTTACTCTACTGGAGATCAATTTTAGTGTTTCAAAAGTTGAGAACACTTACATAGCTGTGATAGAAGCTCAGAAATGTACATTATTTAACTAGTAATTTTATCTACATTATTAATGACTTTTGAATTTAGCTTTGCAAAAATCAGGTGATTCCCATCCTTATAGGTTTGTTCTTCCATTCATAAGTGAAGAAATCTCAAGAGTGTAAGTTCCTTGAATATATAGGCCCTGCCTCATTAACTTGGCTTTATGCACTTAAATATACTACCTGCTATCTTTCTAGGATTCTTAGGTTTGTGATGAGAGTGCATTATTTTAACTAACATTTGGTTATTATTTCTCTCATTGTGGAAGGAAAACATTTTGTTCCTTGTTAAAAGAATTCCCAGCATCAGCTGTCAAATGGGAGAGATTTGGAGCAGAGGAACCCTTGAAGTCACATGATGGCACTGCTTTTTCCCACCAAGCCACCTTCTGTCCCTTGGGGAGGATGCTTTGAGGTTCTGCTGCAGCTGCTAAATGCCTGCTCTCTGAAGCTGCTCAGATAGGAGGATAGGAGTGTGTATAAAGGACTTGTAGCCTGCTTAGTTCTCTCCCAGATCAACCAAGGAGCCCTCCTTCCCCTTCTGACTGTGTTTCCCATCTGCCTGAGGAAGCCTTCACCTTCCCTAACTTTGAACTATTCCTTTGCGTTCTCTATACCTGCTGTTGCATTCGGTGTATCCATTATCTGTTTCAGTTTTATTGTTAGCACTTTGCTATTTTCATTAATAATTAATGGTTTCTTAATATAACCTTCCTGAGCTGACGATCATCGATGCATTTCTAAGCATCTTTATATTATTTCCTTCCTAGTTAATAACTTTTTTGGTGAGTGTTTTAGCATGCATTCTTGGTGAATGTTAATTCATGCATGACTGTTCCAATAGGAATCACATATGCTCCTGACTAGATGATTTCAATTTAAAATAATATGTGTAATGTACTTAACATTTTTAAAATGAATTATTGCATTTCATATTCACATCCACTTTGAGAAAATGGATGACAGTTAATTAAGTGGATTGACATAGACCTGAGTTTAAATTCTGGTGCTGTCTAATACTGTGATAATTGGCAAGTAACTTAACCTCTCTGAGCCCTCCTTTCCTGTAAAATGAGGGAATCTATAAAAATCTTACCACTAGGATTATTTGTTCATTTTGTCACATGCTATATAGACATTTGGTGAGTGATATTTGAGAATGTTTGATACTGGTGAATTGGGTTTTAGTTCATGCTCTATGACTCAAAATCTCCACCTTTGTTATCAAATGTTATTCTGTGAACTTTGTTCCTTTAACAAGTACTGGTCTGAAAATTTGAGTTGTGAAATCATATGCTAGTTTTGC